AGAGCAATGAATTGCATGAGAAACAGAAGTTTTATCTGCGGCAGTCAGTCATCGATCTGCAGACCAAACTCCAGGAGATGCAGATGGAGAGGGACGCCATGGCTGACATCAGGTTGGATTCATTCCCCGAGATTATTTCAGAATTTCCTCTTTGTAGTAAAAATCCTTGTGTGAATGTGAGTTTTCTCACCATTATTTCTTTCATTTATTTCATAGACGAAGGGAGAGTCAGTCCCAGGAGGATCTGAGAAATCAGCTTCAAAATACAGTTCATGAACTGGAAGTTTCCAAATCCCTTAAGGAGGACATGCTGAAAGACAGCAACTCACAGATAGAGCAGCTACGGAAAGTGATGCTGAGTCACGAGGGCGTGCTCCAGGAGATTCGCTCCGTCCTGGCCGACTTCGAAGAAGGCTCAGGCAAGAAAATCTATGAACACGACAGCATATCTACTATGCACTTCCGCAACTTGGCCTCAGCTATTAGTAAAATCCTAAGAGACTTAGACACAGAGATTTCTTATCTTAAAGGGAGGATATTTCCAGTAAGTGGTGAGAACACTACTTCAATTTTATGTTAAAAATGCATTAAATGAATACCCCAATTACCCTGATTTGATTAATTCATATTGGATGAATATAACAAAATACCTCACGTACGCTATAAAGATATACAACTATTTTGTACCCATAATTTTTAAAAATGCATTAAGAGAACAGCATTAAGCATAAGACTTTCAAAAATTTTTAAAGTAAGCCAAGTTCTTATTTTTTCTCTGAAATAACAGAAGTAATTTCCATCTTTCTTCTTGATTTCCATGTATAACTTCATGAGAGCCTATGTAAAAGATCTAACAAAATACAGCAATAGAATGTATCTGATTTTAGTATTATTTCTATTTTCATTTTTCTGAAACATTCCTTTAGTTGAAAATTACTACATCTTTAAAGCTTTATATTTACCAGTTCCTAAATCAATGTCTTTTTAAAAAACCCAGGTAGAGGATCAGCTTGAAGTACTGAAATCTGAATCACAAAGCAAAATAGAACTACTTCTTCAACAGCATCAAGACAGGTGGGCCTCTGGCTGAGATGTGGAAAGACACAGTGAAACTTAGCACAATTTTACAGTCTTTCATCTGCAGTTTCAAAACCGAAAAAGCACTGAAACACAGAACTTTTTTTCCCATAGGTTTGTGGCAAACTCATGTTAAAAATTGTTTTTTTTCTTACATTTAAATCTGTACAAAGCCAAAGCAAAGTACTAAATTTGAGCATGTTGAAAATCATTAATGTTTCGAATAATTCACAGTGAGGCAAAATATCCTGCATCAAATAACAATCTCCACATTCTTTTTATAGGATTGAACAGCTGATAAGTGAACATGAAATTGAAATAACAGGACTTACCGAGAAAGCCAGCAGTGCCCGCAGCCAAGCCAACAGTATCCAGAGTCAGCTGGAAATCATTCAGTATGTGTGTCCTGGTGCTTTGTAACACACGGCCGTCTGTCTTCCTTTTACAGATACTGTTGTGATTAATTTTCTGTTCTAAGATATCATAGAAATTGATTAGTAAGGCTCTCTAAGAAAATAAAACTTTTCCAACATTCAGTTGAACAGAAGCGTCTACTTAACATGTAGATAACATTATTGATCACACGGAAAGTACTAATACAAGAAAATTGGCCTCCTGGGATTGGCCATTTTGAGTATTGTCCATATTTCAGCTTATAGGGTAAAACAAACACACATGCTCTCTCTCTGTGGGTGTACATATATGAAGATATATGAATAAAATGTATGCATATGCATGTAAATTTTATTTATTTATTTTTGAGACAGAGACTTACTATGTCACCCTGGGTAGAGTGCCATGGTGTCACAGCTCACAGCAACCTCAAACTCTTGGGTTTACTCAATTCTTTTGCCTCAGCCTCCCAACTAGCTAGGACTACAGACACCTGCCACAATGCCCAGCTATTTTTTGGTTGCAGTTGTCATTGTTGTTTTGGCTGGCCTGTGCTGGATTCGAACCAGCCATGTGACTGGTGCCAAGCCGCATGTAAATAATTTTATAATTTTAGCTCATGTGCTTAAACTTTTTATATGGACATTTTTAATCATATGCAAAAGTAGAGGAAAATAGTCTAATGAACTCCTATATACTCACC